ATTCACATCCTCGCCGAAGGCTCTCTCAAATCTGGCCCTGGCGTCAGCGCAATGGCGACCTTTAGTGCAGGAGCGAATCTATCTTCACAGTAGGCATCCCTACCCTCGTAAGCATATACCGCCATCATTGATGCTAACAGACGCTTCCACTGTTTCCTTTCTCTCTTCCTCTTTTAGTTCAGGTCAAAGGCACCTCTGATGGGCTACTCGAATGTTCTGATTGGTTTTTGTCAAACCCTCATCTCTCTTCCTACGTCCGTCATATCGAAATATGGGTGCCTGTATGGGGGGATCGAATACCAAAGAGCCGCCCGCGACATTACTATCGCCCCCACGACGGAATCGAAGACTCGAACCTCGCCAGTGTAGCAGCTGTGCTTCAAGCGACTGTCGCTACTTTCGACAATACTTCAAGTAATGGCTCAAATAGCACCAATTTTAGATTCTCCAGCTGCAATGCCACGTTGCAACAAATTTTTTCTCACGTTTCCTACTTCTTCCCCCACGCTCGGATCTTAACGTTGGAAGGTGGCCATTGTAAGAAGCCACCTATGATCAGGCATTTTGATAATGACCCGTGGGGTCAATCCGGCCATGAACGTCTAGAAGTGCTGCCCAATATTCAAACCTTTGTCATGAGAGGGGCGTGGAATATCATGAGGGATTACCAACACTGGTGTAACCTTACCAGGGCATTGCCTAATCTGCGTGAATGGGACTGTGCCTACGCGAAACGAAAACTCGAAGCCAATGTCACTTTAGCCAAAGCTCTTACCAACTTCCCCAGAACAATTACCCGATTGGACTTAAGTTTGGAGGGCTTCTACAATAAAGAAAGTTCACATTCGCGCTGGTTTGGTATAACACATGCAGAACCTCACCTCTGCCAATTGTTGGGCGCCGTTGCACCCCAGTTAGAATGCTTGACCTTTACTGGCAAAGTTTGTGCATGTTTATTCACCGACGCACGAGCGGCCATGCTCACAAACCACACAGCCTCAAGGCTGAAATCAGTCGATCTTGTAGTGAAATCATGCTGCCGAGAACAACGTTCCCACGATGATGGCTCCCCAATGCTCAATGATCTATCCGGCATTACCAATATAAATTTCATCAACTCGTTCGAGAAACTGGTGGTCGCTGCGCTCATATCGTTGGAAACATTCGTCACCCTTAAATATGTGCGTATTCGGTTTATTGATCTTGATTCCGCTAGTCCCCTCGGTCTTCTCAATCCATATTTTCAGCTTGTGAACAACAAATGTATTGGCTTGTGGAGCGAGACTATCCTCGATGCGCTACACGCGGCCCGACCGCATGCAAAATTCGAACTGCTCGACGATGGCATACTACCCCAATATGGAATCAATGTTCAAACCGCATCGAGGGTGTTTCCTCGCACACGACCGCTAAGTATCAAGGCAAGCTCGTATAAGATCATCGCTGACAAATCAAAGCTATGATGAATCCAGCCTAAGTCCCCTGATTTCCAGCCATATTGTCTTTCCGTTGTTTTCCTTTCATTCACGCCTTGCCTTTTTTTTGTTCCTTTTTTGAGATTTATTTATTTTTACTATTTTCTTCCGCGTCCGAATCTGTGCTAATATATTTCCCTTTCGAAACCTGTGCGGCGTTCAAACTCAGCTTTGCCAAATGTGTTATCTCTTGTTTGCTTAATCTCTTTTCGTTGCGCAGCTTTATTCAGTTTGCGGTGCTGGAGGTCTCCTTTCTAGAGAGGCTGATTTCTCCTGACTTCCAGCGTGGCGTTAGGATTGCCTATTTCAAACTTCAATGAGAGGCCTCTTTACTTTTATAATTACCAAAATACAGCCAATGCCTGGTTGAAGCTTGCTTGATTCATTAATTATTCTAAAAGTTCGACATAGAGCGCATCGTATGGTAAGGAACATCACGAGTAAATAACAAACAACATGAGCGCCAACGGAAGTTCCTTATCTCCGATGCGTAACGGACGGTATCGCCCACTGCACGCTCTTTATAATTACCTACATATCATATTGGCACATGCTTTACGCTTGCCAGAGTAACAGCCAGGACTCGCCAAAGCAGCCAGTCAATTACCTCACAAAGCGCTACATTATCTACCAGAATCATGTATGTGGCAAAGAAATTTCAAACGAACCAGGCATCTCCCTCATTTCTGGTCCCCTGCCGCTTTTGTTGCTTTGCTCGGATCTCCACTGGCGCGCATGGCAAAAGAACTCACTGACTGGACGCCGACATCAGCAACAATAATACCTAAGATCCAAACGTTGACTAGGAAGAATATTAATGAAGCGAGAAAGAGGCCCGGAACGAAAGTAGAGAGGCCATGAAACTCGAGACGGAAACCCTGATAGAGCCAGAGCGCCTGGCCGCCTATCCAAAGAGCGAGGGCGCTGATGCCGAGGAGTGGTTTTTTTACGAAGAGAGAATATGGAAGATAGAGCGGGAGGAAGATCATATACCAGAGGAAATACTGTATTTTGTATTAGATCTTAAGAGCCCCATAGCGGAGGAAGGGGCTTGAAAAAATAAATGTAGAAAATAATGAAAATAATTAGTACGAACCTGACTCGTGCAGACCTTGTTGAACGTGACAAACGCAAAAGTTTGCGCTAGCATGGTGCCTGCTAGATCTTTCTTGGCCAAAGCAAGTGGGATTAAAGCGGCAGAGAGGGCAAGTTGTGGGATGAAAGCCACTGACTCTAGGTTGCTTCCTAGAGACGTGCCTTGTGCAGTCGAGGAGGAAGAGAGATAAAGGAGCATATTGTAGGGTGAGAAATTATGCCGATGGTCGACACGGGTGAGATGGTGTAGGTAGGTATGCTGCATGAATGGAAGGCCGTAGGTGACATACATGGTGAGGTTGAGGGCGGAAAAGACGAAGAGAGAGGCGAAGGTGAGAAGGATGCGGGACGGGTTGAAAAACGAGCGTAGCCAATTAATCATGGATGACAATGACAAATTTGATACCTCTCCTGCATGGCTCCCGCCCTCATCCAGCATCCATATTATCGATGGGGCGTAGATGAATGGATATATCTTAAAATGAACCCCAAGGCCAAGGAGCGCGCCAGCCAGCACGATTCGCTTTTCTAAAACAGCCCAAACCAGTGCAATGACCATGACTCCCAATAGGCCCTCTGAACTGCCCCTTGTACTAATTGTAGCAACCATGGGATTAAGTAGCCAGATGCTAGCGTACTTGAGAGCGCGTGGCATGTCCATATTCAGATGACGCTGCTGGCGGAGAACTCGGACAATCAACCAGCCAGCCACGATGTCGGCAAAGGCAAACAATGCTTTGCCAAAGGCGGACCATAAGCTACCACCCCACGCATTCGGGACCAGGAGCCATGCCAGCAACGGGGTGTAGCGGTATGTGGCTCGTTCGTAGGGAGAGCGACCCTGCGAGACGAACTTCGCCGCATCTGTGAAAACGAAGTAGTCGATGTCGGTGTATTTCACGGGAGAGTGGGAATCTTGAAAAAGACCATAGAAGAGGAGAATAACACGAAGGATAACTGCAGCAGAAAAGACTAGAGTTGGGGAACCAAATATAGACGGCATGGCGGAGTTTAGAAATACATCTATTCAGGGGCGTTTTGTTTAACTAACTAGTTTGTGGTGGTTAACTAAGCTGCGGTTGGAATTCGTACGATAGATATAAGGGAATGTGTATGTCGGAGTAGCAGGAATTTATGCAAGTACAGCCCATAAAATATGAGTTGGCATGCGGTCGAAAATTGTAATCATCCTCTTTTCCTCTATTCGCTCATTCAGAGGCCATTGTTTCTGTTGCAGAGCTGATGGCTTTGTATCTTGGGAGCTTTGCGGATGCGGGCAGGAAAAGGCCAAACGTAAAAGGATGAGTAGAAAAACGAAATCAAGTCATTAGGTCCACTGACGAAAGTTCTTTACGCAGCGTTAAGATATAGATCCTCCTCTTGCAGTATTTATTAGCATTCAATGTGTATAGCTAGCTAGTTGAAGAAAGTTGGAAATAACGAGCCCGGAGTATAGAATTTCCGTTCCAAAGAACGGCTTCAGCCACCCAACGTTTTTCCCATTGACATTCATATCTCAAAATATGTTTATTAATATCCACTGGTTATCTGCATCAATTGAGACATCCTCGATTTTATATGGAAAAATGCATTGAGGTGACGCACATCAACTGTTTGTCATCTTTTGTGACCAAGGAGTATTTTTCACTCTGGCTCGGACTTCGACATTTAATGCTGCTGCAGAGAATTGCTGAAGGCATGGGTGATTATAAGAAAATTCTCTGTGATGGTACCTCGCGCTTGGATAGAGCATTACAGACAGGCCACTTGCCTTTCTTTCAAGCTCGCCTCCCAACACCATCCACTGCTGTCGCCGTAGTTTTCCACAGTTTGGCCTGCCATATTGCCATGGCTGTCGACATATGAAATAATTAGAAAATTGGAATATGGAGATATTTGGGAAGAGATACGCTTGCGAAGCGCCGAACATTGAACATAGCGTTTGGAGAGAATGACAGCGCTAAAGTTGAATTGATACAAAAACTGCAGCTGAAATGTTTATGCTCCTCGGTACAGGCTCGGTACAGGATACAAAGTACTTTGGGGAATCCCCATTTACACCACCCGCAGAGAGCACTTCCAGACCAATGGTCTGATAACAAGGATATCCCACAAGAGATTCAATTCTTCGGCGCCAGCCCATCATGGAAGGACATGGACCAGTCACAACGATAAACTGCTTGCCTCTGTTTTAACTGTTATCCTGGGAGGGGTTCCTCTTTTTCTTCCCTTCTTATTTTAGTTTAGTAGTGAATCAATGCAAAGTGTTGGCGATTGGACCTAGGTTACATATATGGCGTGGGCTAAGGAGACAACATATCCAAGGTTGGATAGCTAGGAATCTCCAGAAGAGGGCGATAGGTGCGGCATTCCTCATCTATGTAGCAGTATGTCGGAACTGGATAAAGTCCGAATATTGACCCAAATACTGAATATCAATGAAATAAATTGAATTGCTTATATTAACTCCAGTAATTACATGATAACCAGGCAGTATTTATAAGAAAGAGAATGCTTGGATATATGATGGAGAGCAGTGCTGGTATACATCAGACCAGTGATCCGGTTTCCGGAATTGAGATAATAGAAGATCCTTGCTAATGTAATCATCAGAATACTAGATATGATATATCACTTCTCACATATCATCAGAATGCTTGATATGATATATCACTTCTCACACAGTATATATCCTTCAGCTAGTTAATCATAGTCGCTTACCTTTTCATCCCGAGGACCTAGGCGAGCGGAAATTTGCGATTTTCTTTTTCTGAACTCTGTTGGGGGACACGAGAAACCGAATCGAACCTCTAGAATTGACTGAGTATATGGAAGCTCGGTAACTGTGTGGGCAGAGGTATAAATGGAATGGTCAACTCGTAATAATAACTGTAGGCGCCAGCACAGATGTGCCCGATCTGAGCAAAATAGGGTGAAATAATCGGCAAAGTTCCTCATGAAATTACTCTCAAAAATTAATTTACGGTGCCTTCATCGTCCAGATCTGTCTTAGTACCGGATAAATCCCGCTGCGAATAAAGATCCCATCGGGATCAGTCATGATGCCGAAATCACTCATAAGGTGTTAAGCATTCAATGAAATAAGCAGGCAGCTTTCTCCAGCAGCAGATACGTTCTGCGTCGGATTCCAGACTTTCTCGACGTGGCAGTAGGCCACATAATCAATGTGAGTTACCTGGAGAGAAACCTTGAGGTTGGAGGGACGCGACACGACGGTCTTCGGCAAAAAATAATCGCTGACTGGAAGACTTTGACGAAACCTGTCTGCAATTTCAGGATACATGCATGACAAAGATCATTTGAGCAATGAAGGCTGGTTTCCGGAGCTCACGGAGTAGCCTGCAGGTACTCTTGACGAAGCACCAATCCAGCAGATGTGCGCGCTGGGACCCACATAGTAAGGAACAACATCGGGAAGTCTGGTCAGGAGGGATGTCTTGTCTCCAGCAGAGAGGAATCACACTTTGGATCCCAGGTTTTATGGTCTAGACGATGATTTTATTAGGCCACTGGGCAAAAGAGCTCAATCACCACCAGCGCCGTGGTGGTATAGAGGGTACGAATCACCCAATCCAATCCCCCCAACAGGTTTGCCCTGGCAAGGAAGTGATCCGAGAACAGAGGTTCGTCGCGGAACATAAGCATAGCATATTCAATTATCATTTTGAGCCCCTCACTCGGGAGCTGGAGCACCGCGTAGGGAATTTATACTCGTCGTAGTACAGCTTTCAACTGCGCCAGCTGTTTGCAATTTCTTGGCATTGTCATCCCGCAACCGGCAATTACACTTCCACACTAGTAATATGGCAGTATTTATTTAGCCCCCCGCAATTCAACTTGAACATACAAGAACACATATGGCTGGCAGCAAACGCTCTTGGGAAGGCAACCTAGTCCAAAGCCTAAAAGCAACAGACATGGCGTTCGAAGACAGCAGCGTAGACGCCGACACATCCACCATCTTGTCAATTTTTACCACTTTCCGCAGCGAACTGGACGAGCACCATGACCGTCGAGAGCGCGTGATTAAAGCTTCAAGAGATATCACAGCTTTGAGCAAAAAGATGTACGCCATTTTATATGGTATAGACTGCGATACATCTGTTGCATGGGAGCTGACAAACCGGATTGATCCACAGAATATTTTCCTTGCACCGGGTTCGTGCTCTCAACCAAGCCCTTCCCAAGAGCATTGCGAAGGAAAACCATGAACGCCTCACCCAAATAACCACCCTCTTCAAGTCCGTCGTACCTGACTTAGGCGGAATCAATTCCCACCGATACCAATGGCAGATCAGTCCGGGTATCCAAGAGTACATCGAAGCTGTCACATTTCAACATTACATCGAGACCCAGCGGCTGATGTCCCTAGAAGAGGTGGCCAGGTCATTACCTAAGGGTGTCCTCGTGACTGAGGCGGACTACATCTTAGGCATATTCGATCTGACGGGAGAAATGATGCGCTTTGCCATCATGATCATGACTAGTTCTGCCATCAACATTTCCGTCGATGGTGCTGCTGCCGGTTGTTCTGATAACCGGGATAATGGCCGTGGTGGCATCCTCATAGACCTACGGCAACTGCGGGCAATGTTCGAGTCAGTGAATACACCGCGTGGACATATCTTGAACCGGGATTTCGCGAAGAAGCTTGAGGTGATGCAGAATAGCGTCGAGAAAGTGGAGCGGGCGGCATATGGCCTGCTTGTGCGGGGAAGCGAACGGCCTGGGGGCTGGATGCCGGATTTGTCGGGCCCCGCTCAGGTCGAGAGCTATTGAGATCGTGTTCTATTTCCAATCAGTGTCATGTTGATCTCGTCGATGCGTATATGATGGATAATTATTTTGCTCCAGGAGCCCAGAGGAGTCATGAATTCTGGAAAGGGTAATTAATTTACTTGCGTGTGCTAAGATACAATGGACCGTGTAGGCGTGGTTTAAACACGGCTCCTATGATGGCCTTGTGTTAATGTGCCCTAGTTGGAAACATGATGGTAGTAAGTATGTGGTTTAAGGGATAAAATTCTACACGCCGTCAAGACGAAGTGCGTATCCATTGCGAACGCTAATCATTTGGGGAACAAATAATAATGATTAATGATGGAAATCCATTTGCGATAGCATGCTTCTGCTAATCATTTTACAGATTGGTTGCTCTAGTACTAAACCATCGCATTTCAATCCCGTTGGCTTTGGTCATCCCGAAGGCATTACCCGTAATAACGCAAGTGAAATGAAATCAAAGGCCCCGACTTTAGAACATGGTCGAGTAGAGAATGAGCGAATCATCCGAATGTCGAATTCTGAAAACCAATACATCCCAGATTGGATGTGGGAAGTTAAAGTCCCACGCTGGTAGCGAAGCAAATAGACACGTACAGAATTATGAAACAAGAGAACTCCATTCATCCCGCTAGACCATCATCGATAGACTGGTTTAGACTTGTTGTAGTATACCAAACCTGGCCACGACACCCTACTGAGCTGGGCGTGTGGGGTCTTCATCCTCATCCAGAATGCCACGATGAATGAGCTCTTCAGGTTTGGGACGGCTCTGAATCTTATGTTCCAGATTATCAGCCAGCATGTGTTTTTCTAGCTCACGCGCATGGGCCTGGAGAGCCGGAGCAGCCGTGGAGGACGGAAGGATGTTTCCTAATATTGAGCGTTAGGAGGCTGTGCATTGCTGGGAAGCTGGTGCAGGGTTCGCTATAAATGCCTACTCTCCACGAGGTCTTCGCGATCAGGCCTTTTCTCCAAATGCTTCTTGAGGCTGTCTGCTGCCTTCTGGCGGGCTAGCTCCTGTTGTGCTGCTTGCAGGGACCTGCCAAATAGCGTGAGGTGTCAGCGGGGTAGAGTCTCTCGATCTCGGGGGGGAGGAATGGCTGAGAGCGAAACGTACGGAGCAACATTTGTGTCGAGAAGTATGTGTCTATCTTTCAAATCCTGCTGGCCAGGACGGTGTTGGAGATACTTCTCGAGCGAGTTGCGTCGCTCGACAGGCGAAATAGGCGAAGTATCGACGCCAGAAGACTCAGCCATGACCGGTGGGCTGGAATGAATACTAGGGACAAAGGAATGTAAGATATGATTGTTAGTTGTTAGGTTTATATCAATCAACTCGGACTCTCTAGATAGCCAGTATCGAGTGTATATACTCTGTAGTACGCAGGAAATGTCCAAAGCCCGATGAGTGATGGTGTCTTGTTGATGTCGTCAAGTCTCGTTCTTTGGGTTGGCGGCGGGTGATGACGTAACATAACAGCGTGTCATGTGGTCGTGCGTCGTGTTAGTGGGTACTACTGTTGGGCACTAGTTGCCCAGGCGGCCCTCCACCGCACGTGATTACCCCTATATATACAGAATGGTTAGCTAGCGATCGCACAATGAGAAGATTAACCATCCCACATTATCTGTTGGCCGTAGGCTGCCTAACACGGACTAGCGCAAACCGCACATATATGCCTCAGCTGCCGACATGTTAATACAACCACTTAGACGTCCCACATTATCCTCCTACACGTCGTCGTTTGACCAATCAAAACAACTAACTAGAAGTAGTTAACTACTTGTTACTACTTGGTTGACTCTGCTTAATAAATATATCGTTTGATTAGAGAGTGCTGTGAATTCTTTAATGTCCAAAAAGGATTTTCCAACAGATATAGTCTATGAAGGTTACTTTATTTCTCACCTCTCATCTACCTCCAGGAATCCACCTCCCTCTCTCTAATCATCCTCAAAACGTGCCAACTTCCTGATCAGGTTCCATTTCTGAGAAGGAAAGGGATCTCAGAAGTTAGCATCACAAGAGATCAACCCTTGGAAAATCAGATTCGTAAATAAGCCAAAAGGGCCAGAGTATTGAAAGCAAGTTCCATATAAATAGCTATGAAAAGTCTCTACATACTAGCATTGAAAGTCGTATATCATAATTGCTCCACTTATATCTCGCTGTGTTTAGTTTCACAATTTCAAAAATGGCCGAGGGCTTGGCAATGATGAAACAACACACGCACGGCACATGCAATGGAAATTGAAATTAAGCCCTCTCAACATCTAATTTCTCGCAGGGTAAAATATTATATTACCAATTGTGCAATCAGATCTTTATTCTGAAATACAATCCCTGCTCTTCATTTCATGTTTTCATTTATATTCTTTTCCCACTCTAGCTCAAAGATCTCTAGAGAAATTGCATCTCAGAATGTGCTCTATGAGTTATATATCAACACAATTCATATGCTGATTGGAGTCATTGGGAATGGTTGGAATTCCCTTAATTCATTCAAAATTGTCGTCAATTGTACTATGTGCTAAGTTTGCAAGTTGAGTCTCCATACACACATTCACCGATGTGGCTTTGTCACATCAACTGCTGCCACTAGTCAAACCACATTCTTGTCTTTCTATTCAGAACAAAGAAGCTTCTCTGTAGAGATACTGTACAGATTATTAGAGGTGATACTAGTTGAGAGTCGGAAGTCATTCAAATTTTTGAAAGAAGAGATAGCAGATTGATAGAACTGATTGTTCTTGATGTTGAAATTGCTTACCTTCATAAGTTTAGATAAAAAAACCACATTATCCCCCACAAATTCAACAACACATGTCATTACAGCAATAAATGCTGGTGAAGTAAAAAGGGCTGTTTTGGTGAAGATAAACAAGCAATTTAAAGTTAGATATATTCTTGTTCTTTGCAGAAAGATGGGCAACTTACTACAAGTTATGTCTTCCAGATTCTTTATTCACCATATCAAAAATCCTCCTCTTAAAAAATGTCTATGACGATTGTCTAAAAATGGAATTCCAAGGGAAAGAAAACAAATGCCCGAAAAAATCTAATTCGATCCACTAAGCCACTGTCCCTAGAATAGCTAGATGCAGGTAGATGCCACATAACGAAGTCACACAGCGCAGGCACAGGGGGAAAGAAATACAAGGGGATAATGTCGCCGATCAAATATGGACTCCATCGCTAGCAGAAATCCGCCCCCGTTGGCCCCAAGACAAAAGGAAAAATGTTTTCGAAATCACGAGTAGATCAATGAAAAGGTATGCATAAAATCAATGCTCTTTTTTTTCCCTTATCCAAACCAAACCTGGCCAAACCATATTAAATCCCAAAAAATATATATATGTACCAACTGAACTTTTTGTTAAAATAAAAAGGTCAACCGATGATAACCGTTTTAAAGTAGTATATCATCTAAAATAAAAATAAAAATAAATATCAAGCCCAGTTTCCCAACAGGGCCATCAGCCCTGCGCCCAAACAGAGAAGTCCGAACGCAGCCAGCACCTCCCGAAGTGGTGCCCGCTGCATCGAGGGGCTGAATACAAACTCATGCGCCATCAATTCCACTAAAGCCGTGTATATCAGGATGCCCGCAGATATAGAATCAAAGACGCCATTCACTATCAGTGTAGTCCGCCCCTCCGCCGGATATGTCATGCGAACACCCAGGCCAACGGCAATGGAAATTGGAGTAGAGAGGCCGAAGGCGATGGCAAGCAGGTATGGTGTTAGTTTCTTGGAGCGCGGCCAGGGGACTGTTGCGAGACGCGAGCCTAGACCGAGACCTTCGAAGGTTTGGTGAAAGGTTAGCACGACGTAGAGAGTTACAAATTCTTGGCCGGCGACGGCGAGAGTGAGGCCGATGAAGATTGAGTGGAAAATGATGCCGAATTCGAGGATGAAGATGGAGGTTAGCTGCGCGCTGTAATCTACTACGAGGGAAGGGAGACCATGACTGTGGGAATGGTGGTGATTGTCTTGAACCTGGTTGTGGAGTGATCTTTTCTCTGTAAGACGGGAGTGGCTGTTGGTGTTGTTGTTGTTGTTCTCGTTGGAAGAAGAATTCGCCAGATGCTCGTGATTCTGGCCCATATGGTCTTGTGTGTTATCGGAAGGTGCAATTTCCGGCTGCTGGTCTTGGGCATGCGAGACGTGGCTGGGCGACTGGGAACCATTTTCAATCTCCTTAGGGATATGTCCATCTCCAAAGCGAGCGAATCGAATGACCATGAGTTCAGTGAAGAAAAGGACGATAATTGTGATAAGCATGATCCCTTCCACCCACGGGTATGCAGTAAGGGGCCCTGTTAAACAGCGGTTCGTCAAAGCTTCATGGGCGGGTGCAAGGAGGTGGATAAAAGCTGTCGCCACAATGACACCTGAACCGAAGTATTTTGCAACAAAAAAAGTCCAAGGGAGGACACTCATTGGCATTTTTCCAAGCTTGGGAGACGAGAATCGAGCCCAAACAGGGAGCAAGGCACCCAAGGAAGAACCGATCAGGATTACAAAAACTGCGGATATACGCAGGCCCAGACGGCCATCATACTCATTTCCTGTATCACAGGCATCAGAAGCACTGCCCTCTTCGGCGCGGGGCAGGAGAGCCGCGAGACAAGCGGAAGGTAACATGGCTGGCGAAACGAGGGCCACAAAAGAACATTCAATGGAGGGGGTATGAACAGTGAGTGACCGGAAATCCCAAATAGCGAATGTGGTATCAAAGCCGAACGATATCCCGGCTGAAAACCGTGCAGAGCAGAGGTAATACAGGGAATTAGGGCTGCGATGGCATGGAAAGGACAATAAATATAGACACACAGAGCCTGAGATCGGGCGGGAATCTCAGATGCAACACCCCACGCATGGTCTTTTGTCTGAATGCCCTATATAAAGCGGAGCCGCCCGCCGATGGTTGCCCACAAAGTGGATGCGGCGTAACAGAGCGTCATGCACAATACGCGATATTGCGCCACTCCCCGCCGCGGACAGCTCGCAATCTGGTATCGTACGGTATGCAGATCACAGTTACGCGAGGACCTTGGGGGCAAAGGGAAAATAACTGACTCAGCACCGCGGGGACGCTGGTGATTGGTCGGGAAGTGCTGAGTCAGCATTAATTGCCTTTTTCTGAGACAAATCAAAAAGTGGGTTCAAAGTACCTTGGAAGATATGAGGAATTAATGAGAGCAGGGAAAATAGAAAGAAGGGAGATGTACAAAGTAGATGATACATAATACGCCCAATGGATCGTGCAGCAAGAAGGTGTTAACATCCAAACTAAATCCCCAGCATGGATCCCACCTCTCCCAATGGCGACACGGGCTTCTGAGTATCACCGGCAGGCTCCTCCTGAGATGGATTCTGGAGCTTGCTTTTTGGATAGTCCGCCTTCTTTTCTTCTTCTCCCTCTCCTTCCTCATCTTCCTCCTCCTCACCCTCCTCGTCCTCGTCTTCCTCTATTTCAGCAGCCTGTTCGACCTGGAAGAACCCCGCATACAACACATATCCCACAAACATCCCTAGGCCAGCCAATACAGTAGCTATCGACGTATATAACTCTCGTCGCTGCATCGTGGCGACCTTCGCTGCTATCTCCTTCTCCTCACAGGGCCCCTGCGCCTGCTCGCCCGCCCGTTGCAATCTAGCGTTGGCTCTGATCTGCTGCACAATCGGTATCGAATCCGCTACCCCTTCCAGCGCCCGCTTTCCCATTGCTCCAAGGCTAACCAGCTCCGGAGCTCGCCAAGGCAGGCTCGATGCACCCCCCACGCTCTCTGAAAACGCCATGGACACCTCCACTGGCACATCGCCAAAACACCGCGACCGTAATCGGGCTACATAGGCCACTAATTGCGGTCCGTGTTCCGTGACAGCATCTCTCAACCACGGGTTTGGAAGGTTTGGAACTAAGGCCAGGGAGAGATAACCCAACGCCAAACAATCTTGACTCGACGGAATTTCCGATGATAACAGATACCCTTTCCGCCCCAGAAGCTCTTCCAGAGGTGCCACAAATGCGCTGGCCAGGCCCTCCAGTCGTATCTGGTTTTGTTTTGAAGACCTGTTTAAAATATCGCTCACTGTCGCCTGGCGCTTGCGGATAAGGCTTTTTGGGATTTTGCTTGCTAGGCTGCTGGGATCCCGCGCTTGATATCTCTGCTCCTCCACCATCACATCGACATCAAGGGATGTAAGCCCGAGATATTCTGTGCGTTTCTTAGCCAGTTTTCGAATTTGTGGTGGCGTTATCCATTGGCTGGGCCATTGGAGAAACGATGCATAGGCCTGGGAAGTCGCATTGTTATAATTATCACTCGACACGTATAAGGAAAGGTCAATCAATGGCTGGCCTTGGGATTCGAGAAAGGATGAGAACCTGTTATCGCCACTGTTAGGTCCTGTAATGCAATTCATATGCTTTGGTTTCAAAATGAAATTAGATTTGGTAGAAACATGCACTTACGCTATGCAATCTGCTTTCTCTTTTTGACCCATCCACCGATCCAAGTCCCATTCTCCATCAGAGTATTGGCTCAGGTATGCTACGATGTTCCTGAACCGACTGATCCACCTCGTTCCGGTCCATAACGCTGGTAGTTCATCTGCAAATACCCATTAATTAGCATCCATATTCTAGTCTCATAGTATTTTTAATCAGTAAAGGAGACGGATAAGCCGCATACACCTTAAAAGGAAGCGAGCAAGGCGGAAAACAGCAGCGAATCTGATATGTGAAATGACAAGGTCGTTACTCACTAGTTGGAACCATACCAGGATCGCTGTCCGCTACCAACACCCACTGTTCCTGTTCCCCATCAGAACCTCTTAACTTCATGGGGACGGCCAAAGCAAAATATGCAACCATCGAAATACATTGTGGGTCGATCGAAGGCAGCCCAAATGCTGGGCCCCAAATATGTAGTTCGAATGCCATAGTTTGATTTTCTCCTTTTATTTCCTTCTTTTGACATGCTCCCTTGTTATAGTTCCTTTCCTCCCTCCTGTTCCTTCACAGTCCCACGCGCCAGACACCCTCATATATGGCTAGGTTTGCGTTGAGTTTGTTGCGCACAGGTTACGGCGTACCTATTTCCGCGAACCGATTTGATTTTGCTATCCAACAAATATGAACGTATACAAGTATACACCTGGTAAGGAGCTGGAGAAGCTCTGAAATCGTTGGGAGTGTTTCTGACACTGTTCACCAGCCTGAGAGTGAACAGTACGGCTTTATTGATAGAGGACGGAGGTTGCTAATAATACAAATGAGGTAGCCGATTTCATCCACCACATAAGACGTATTGATCACAATCGTTCTGGGAGATGCCCGAGGTTCCACTTTCTTGTTTATATGGTCCACGTGATATGGTCTGCTTTTAACCTTCAAAGCTAACCACAAACTAAATGAGAGTTTGAACTTCTGTCAAATCCTGTAGAATCTAAACCAATCGGCTTATAGAATTCATAGTAAACTCCAGAGCTTTCACAGAGTTATCCAAGGAAAAAACTAATATAATCATATCAATTTAAAACGAACATATCAAATTATCTCTCTCTCTCTCTCTCTCTGAATTTTCTATCCATCTCTAGTTTATACAACATATATAAGTATTTCATTGAAAATGTCACTCACTTGTGACTTTTGAACATACGTAATTATCTTCTAAAAACATTTCAAAACATCAAGTTAAATCATTAATATATTTCATAATATAGTAAAAAAATCTTTCGAAGTTAGATATAATCTACATAAATCTCTAAATATTTAGAGTATAAATAGTGGTATTTATTTATATCTTCATTATGGCTAGTATAGAGGCAGAGAGCAATCTGTAAATCACCAGATCTTCATATCGTATGTAGGCAGGCAGGCAGGCAGGTGGTATTAAAACTATATATCTCCAGACTTTCAGATCATCGATATGTTTGTTTATCGAATCTGGATATATAACACCTATATATGAATGTAAAGCGAATGTGGGAGCCAATAGACATTGACCCAGGCCTGCCCTTGAAATTTAATTCACCACACTTAGAAACCCGGAAACCTGTCCTCTTTCTCTTGTGTCTACTCTTTTCTTTACTTCATTTCTCCTGTCCAGTACTTCAATCGTTCCCAGTTTATGACAATTCCATCTGTCCAGTCGTTTGCACAGAGTCAAAGCATTATGTAACACGATGGCCATAACTAATGAGCATCTTGGTTGGCTATTTATGATTGAAAAGTAAATGGATGTTACTCATAATGCGTTCCTCTTATTTTTATTCATGGCTGTATTCAAAGGCATCCCGCGCATGCTAGACAAATATCTCTTCCCTTTTTCGATTCCGCTGCTGAAATCTTGGGAAAATGAACCCATATTTTTTTTTGCTCAAACTCCAGGCACTGTCGATGTGAGGTATGCAATGGGATTTACATATTTTTCGTGTGGCCTCTTGAGTGAGCGACTATGAGATCGAACAAAATGGCCAGTCTCCTGCCCATCTCTATAAGACTATGGAAATAATTCTCAACCTCTCAACAGTTTGCTCGTCGGCCAAGCGAGGTGGAGTGTGGCGATATAGGTATTGGGCCACTGGAGCAAAAGAGCTCAACCACCACCAGCGCCATTGTGATATAGAGGGGACGAACCACCCAATCCAATCCCTCCAACGATATGGGCCTCCTGCTTTCTGATCGATCTGGAGGGTGTCGTCGATTGGACGCTGCCCTCGGATTTGCCTGGATATTTCACTCAGTACCTGACCTCAGGCAACACCATCTATTCTAACCTTTTGATAAAATCGTCCACCTCCAGGCAAATTGGGGTTAGTAAAGGATAGGTACCTAGTTCTGCAATGTCAGTCATAGTTGTGATGTTTGGTATGGGCAACAAATTTGCATGACAGCAAGGAACAGCGGTCCGTAGCCCAAATCCTTCTTCAGGGGCTTTATAGCCCAAACGTTCACGATGAACATTTAAGTTTATAATCTCGACGATTCCCGCCCATCGATGATATGAGTAGTCTGTTAAGTATCAATTAAATTTTGAAGGATTCCGTCGAAAAGCCCACTGAGGAGCAATGATCGCTCTTGACAGCGATCCCCCAAAACAACTACTAATGATGATAAGGACTCGATTCGAAGAATGGTTTTTCGCAGATATGAAGTTATTTGACTTGTCCACACAAAGACCAATTGCCAGTTTGTCTGAATACTGACATAGCCAAGTCCAATATGATCAGGCCCTCACTGCGACAACGAATTCTTTGAGGAGCCACACTAGGCCGATTAATAAAGGAGAAATAAATTGGCCGTCATGTTTATCATTTCCAGAGAAACATTTGTGTCCTTCAGGCAAAACCAGATAACTTTTCATATAACTCTCACCAAAAACCAAGCATAATCTGATCAATTAAATAAAGTTCAAAATATCCACATTTGTCTTAAAATGCATGGGCACCGACCAAAGTGGCGGATTTTGGCCAGACCATGGCCATGGTCCATGGACAGGGGAGTCCTAACTCACCAAAGGTAGTTCCCGCGTCCGTCTCTGAGACCTCATCTTCAATGCCTGGGCGTATTTCATCCTCGGTGCGGAGGCTCATGTAAAAGTTTTGGCTCATACTAAGAATTTAAACTGAAATCTCATTACTAGTGGGAAGGCCATTGCTTTTGCCATCGAGCAATGTTTAGTGAGCTAGTGGGCAAGCCACAGGCATTGATGACCCCTGAAACCCCCCCGAAAGGTAATACCTCTTTGATCAGGAGATTGAACAGCATTACTTGATGCTGGTATGAGTACTCCGTATTTCAGTTTAAATTCTTAGTGTCAGTCAAAACTTTGTCCACAGCAATCCCCACGAAATTTCCCTGTCCTAACATCCTCATCTAATTACTTTCCCGGATGGGAAGACAAATTCTCTCCTACGGGCGAAACAAAGGATGCCCCTGATACTGTCTCTGTGCGCCTGAAGTTGCCAGGGGCGAACTTGATTTCATGGAAGCCAATGCTTAAGAAGCATCAGGCAGAATGGCAAAGGTCACCGGTGCTGGGGGCTTGTCCAAAAGAACACTGGTGGCAAGCGATAACAACTCTCTCTGTCGATTTGCTTTCAATCTTTCTAACTTCTCTTTCTATCTCTAGCTTGCGGAATGGCCCTTCTTTGCAATATGTACGGTTCTCATGGCAATTCGTTTGGGGTTTCGGTTGCGGTTTGTTCGTCGACTATTCTGGGAAGACACGTTCGCGACTTTCGGATACGCATTCCTCTTGGCCATAGATATCGTTGCCCTATATTGCATTCATCATATTGAGGCATATGAGACACTTGTTGTCGAATCACCTCGATGGCATCATCACTTTAACGCAATGTTGAAATTATCATTCACGGTCGATGTGCTTTATAACTGCATCATTTACGCAATTAAGGCCAGCTTTTTGGCTTTGATGTGGAGGATATTTAAAAATATTCCTGGCTTTCGAAGACCTTGGTGGGTTGTTACTATTACCACCGTTGTACTGGGCTTGACCAGTTTATCACTTGAACCAGCGACATGTGTCAAGTTCTACTTAGGTACAGAGATTTCACGAAACCATAAGTGTCGAGTTTATGAACCCAGTCGCTAACTGGAAAAAGGTCCCTGCGCGGACTCAGATGACATACGGCGTAATAATATTACTTTGAAGACTGGGGCGGCTCTTGACATCGTGACTGATTTTATGAGTAAACTACCATTTTACTTTATCCGAACAGCCATTAGCATTTCTCACTATTTAAACCCTTTCTTCGAAAATAGCGGCTAATTCCCCGTCAAAACCCCCAGTTATGGCGCTTCCAATCTCGTTCATTGCAAAATCCCGACTACCTTGGACTCAGAAGTTAGGCATTATATGCCTGTTCTCGTTGGGACTCATCATCGTTGCAACCTCCCTCATCAGAATTATATCTCTCAACTTCCCTGGTGTCCATCCTCCTGTTAGCTGGAAGGTATTTTGGGCCATGATCGAAAGCAGTATAGCAGTGATGACATCCTGCTTTTCCTCATACGGATCTCTCTATACTTTTTTCAAACGATCCAACGACCCTCGGCGTCGGCCGTCGTACACAGGAGGGGAACCATGGCCGAAGCACAGACACGCACGCCTGGCAGGGAATCCCCATGGGTTCGACTTATCTCTGTTCAATTTTCATTCGCATGAGTCACACAGTATAGTGGTCACGGAGACCGGAGGAGTTCAAGATGGAACATTGAATGATGGAGAATCAACGGTAAACATCCTTTCACAAATCGAGTGTGAAGGACTTGGCAAACCTATAGACAAGAACACGTTGAGGAGGTAGTAAATTCACGAAAACGAAAAGGTTGGGATGGCGTTGAGGGAATACTGTATTAATTATAGTCAACTATAGGGAGCTGCCTCTAATTGACAAAGTTGGACCATGGCAGGTGGTTCAAAATTCCTGGGCAAAAATTCGAACCACGTTCAACTGTAACCCGCAAGAAAGTGGTGAACTTCATCAAAGCTTGGCCGTCAAGTTAGGCACGTATCCCCTCGTCCGTAGGTTTGTGCAAAATTAGCGTGGTTTCAATTAGTGTATGGAATTCTGCACCGGCGCCCTGGGCATAACCAATAGAATCCTATATAATTTTATATGAATAATAATTGGTCATTTAGATCCACTGATTGAAGATCCCATGTAAATCTTAAGAATGCGTATGGAATTCAACGCGTTTGAAGCCCTGCCTGTCTGCCTGCCTGCCTGATTCTCATATATTCACCCACCTATCCCCCTACCCGCGAATATGGAACCCCCCAAACCTGCGAACGTGGAATCCACTGAGAAACCTACTAAATCCAATGGTGAGTTCCTTATATTAATCAATTCAAATGACCTAGCTAACTAATTCATTCTCTAGTTCATACAAAAACATCAAGAAAATGAAAACGGCCTGTTGAGGAGGTTATTGCAGAACTTCCACCTTTAGAATCAGTGAAATTCCACCCAATACTGCCTACCTCATGAGATCCAATTCTCAATATTTCTGCAAATATCAATATTAGCAGTCCATACACCCTGTTTACCTTATTCTTCTTTGAGGAATGCTTTCAAAATATCAGTAATTCTACTAATCTCTATGCAAAATTAAAGAGAGATACTAGAGATACTGATGATGAAGCTCCAGAGCTTTCAGAAATGGAGGAGAATGAGAAAGCTCAAGATATAGATATAGAGATTTCTGAAATATCTATATTCTCAAAGCCTTCTATTCAGCAATGTTCATGGAAAAATATCAATCCAGTGGAGATAAAGGTCTTTATAGGCATTCTTCTCTATATGGAAGTTCATAAATCCCATCGAACTGATCTATACTGGTGGAATGATCTGAAACAAGGCTCTATTCATTCCATTCAATCCTATATGACCCATACGCGTTTCAAACAGATTAAACGATATATCCATATATCTAACCCTCATGAGGCCCGCCGCCCGGAGGCCAAAAATAAGGATTGGTGGTATAAGGTAGAGCCATTAGCTACTAAGTTTCATATGGCATGCCGAAAATACTATACCCCTGGCTCTAAGATTTCCATTGATGAGATTATGGTTAAATGCTTCGGACGGAGTCAACATACATACAAGATGCCTAATAAATCAATTCCTCGAGGATATAAGATATTTGGCCTAGCAGAACATGGCTATTTATGGTCTTTTTCCTGGTCTAGCCGCCGGCAGGGTATAATGCCTATTTTCCAATTCCCTATGTTAACAAAAACCGGATCTATGGTGGTGAATCTGGTGAAGCGGCTTCCTATGATATCCACACCGAATACGCTGAATACCATGCCGAATGCCACCCCTAATATCGACTCTAATATCACCCATAATATTGGCCCTAATATCAACCCGAATATCCCCCCCCCGAATGCTACGCCGAATGCCACGCCTAATGAAATCTCTATCTCACAGCTGGTCACATCCTATTCAATTTATATGGATAACTACTTTACATCAGTTCCTTTATTCAAAGAACTACGTCAACAGGGGTATGGAGCATGTGGAACCACTCGTCCAAACCAGGTTCCAGCAGTACTAGGCGAGCTTCGAGAGCATTCAAATTCCATACCCTGGAATACCCTGCATGCCATTGAAAAAGAGAATGTTCTCTGTCTTGCCTGGCAAGATAATAATATGGTATTGACACTAACTACGATTCATTCATTGGACGCAGTTATTGAACGTACTCGTAAATGCCCAGGGGAACTTCTAACCAATGCCAATATTGTTAGAAAAGCCTTTGAAGGTCAACCACAAAAGAAGCTGAAAATCTCATTGATTATAGATGATTATAATCATCATATGAATGGGGTAGACCTAGCAAATCAATACTGGGCAGCATATACTAGTCATAGAGTCACCTATCGCACCTGGCTTCCTATTCTCTACTGGCTTATTGATTCCGCGGCTATTAATGCATACCGGCTTCAATATCTATATATGAAGCAGCAGGGGATTCCAGCGAAGGATCTTCCTTCTCATATAAGCTTTCATGAGAAGCTTTACCAGGAACTCTTTGAATTCACACCTAGGATTCATGATAATTTATCAAGGGAATGATCAAATTCTAATCTAAATCATCAACGGATTCCTCTTCCAAAGCAGCGTGTTTGTGCCTGGTGTCAATATAAACGAAAGATTGGCCAGCAGAAATATAAAAAGATAGGGAGATCAAATTCTGGCTGTTCAGAGTGTCAAAATACCCCCTTATGTTTGAAAACTCGATGTTGGGCGGAATTTCATAGTATATCCTAATATCTATTTACGCGGATCCTTAATTAGGGTTTATATATTACACTAATACCGATGAATACTCAAAAATACACTGATTATTCAATGAGATCTCGTATAATATACACTAATGAAACCACGCTAATTTTGCACAAACCTACGGACGAGGGGATACCTAGAGTGACTTTGTAAGACAAACAAGACAAACATATGTATAATGCACGTTCAACTTTACTACATTACTGTAATGGTACAAAGTGGTCCTGCGTCACTACTGCGTAGTTCATTTAACTAACTGATTAGCTGCTTAATGGATGAATGAATCGAGCCGAGATTGAGCTGCGGGGGAGGGAAAAGGAAAGCATTCCAGCATAGAAGCCGTGTCGACTAGATTGATTCTTCTCATCTCCTTCACTTTGCAACGAGCCTTTTCACGATGCCTCCAATCAGACGCTACCTTCGCGTCAGCAAATACTCAGTGCTTGAATGCAGAATATATCTTGAGAATCCGGTCGATTCACGCTGGTTGCTTGATACCCGCGACCCAGCTCTACCCCGTGTATTCAAGAGCATACAGCCCTTAGTCCTTCCGAAGCTGCGAGAGGAAACTGAACGAGCTCGCACAAAGAAGTCGAAGCCCGTAAAGGACGTCCTGTCAGAGGGTATTATTATCTAGTTTACTTTACTAATGAGACTTCTTGCAACTACTGTATAGCTAACACGTCGGAATAGATGATTTTGAGGTTTCTATTTTCCTTCGTGCGGGAGGCACAGCCCACTCAATTATTACAAAACTAAAGTCTTTCGACGATCAGCCGCCCAAAATCCAAAGTAACTCAAGGAAGTTAACTGGAACTGATGACTCTCCGATTCCCATTACCGATGACTCTTTGACGATATCGACTATTTTACCAGAGAGCGACGATGAAACCCCGATCAACTTGCAGGATATCCCTGCAGCTGATGAAGGCATCCAGTCATCAACAAGCCGACGGCGAAGAAGACGAAGGGATTGTACAGAAAGTGATTCTAATGCGGAAACCGATAACGATGGTGAGGACACGCATGTCACGAAACGAAAAAAGCCCCAGGTAGAACCCACTCCGGAACCCCAAGACAAGAAACCACGCTTAACCACCAGCTATAAAGGGTTCATAATAGGGGAAAAAATATTGTGTCTTCTCGTCGCCCGGAAGGGCGATAGAGCGAGGTCAAAAACTGATACAGTACCAGCTGGGCAAGCATTGATGGAAGAATGGATCTCCACACAGGCCCCTCAGGAATTTGAAGAGGGTTAAGCCCAGATACAGCTTCATTCATCAGCTACGTTTTTGTACCGTCATAACCCGAGTCCTCCGAGGCTCAACTAACGAGTCATGTGTGAAAGTCATTCGGTGTGAAGGTGGTAGCTGAAAAAGGGCACGCAGTCTAGGGCATCCCTAGCTGGCTACGTGTTCACTGTGGCAAGGCATAAAACATTGGTCTGCATCATTCAATACCTTCACCTCCCATCCGGGCTGCCTCATTCAAGTTTGATGTGCTGGCCTTTGGGTTAAATTTCAAAATCGAGGCGTTGTGTGACTTGTGTGACATCGACATGCTCGAAATTGCAGGATGCGCAAACAATTCACATCTCTGAGTGGTTCTAGATATAGTTATGACTCCATACTGAGGTTCTCCATGCACAGAATGGATTGTCGATTCCTTACATATGCATGTACCGAGCCGAGTTGACGAGAAGTGCCCCTCCAGGCCTCGCATTCCACTTTATACAAGGCTATCTTACTTCTTTCTTTGTGTCATCCCCGGGAGTGAGTTGTTTTCATACCTCTACCATACTTTTGTTGGACTGAAACTCTGGATTCAACCTTTCAATCGATGCATCGTGTTTTATGAGATTCATCTGCGGCATACCCCAGACGCTCATACATTTATGTCATACATATAATATATCAATTTGCGCGACCTGAGTCCTATTTTTGTTTCTTCCATTGATCCGCACACCATCCATCAACCGAAACTCCAGCCCTCATGTTTTCAGCGTGTTATGTGATTCAACTTAAATCAGGGAACTCCCTGGTCTGTGGCAGATGCGGATTTTCGCCAACAACCAGGGAGCTTCACGCCCTTGAAATAACTCAGCATGCTGTTTTTGTCGAGAATGTTGGATGCTGGCTTTTCCCTTTCATTGTTGTATTCGTACATGACAGATACAGGTACAGGGAAAGTTCATGTATTTATTTCTTTCCTCTGTGAAATCATTTTAGAGTTATGTATGTGTATGCTATCAGCCCCCTGGCATTTTTGGTCATTAAGAGATCCATTGCCGATGCTGCGCCAATTTTTCATCGGTGTATTTCACCCCTGCCTTTTACAATAAAAATCCCAAACATCCCGCCCTCAACTGCGCGTAGCTGACTTCGAGAATCCTCCGTATAATCTCCCCGTGATTACCTACAAGGTATCTCTCCCCCGGACCTGGGTCTGTGAAGCGTCTCTAGAGAGGTACTTAACATGGGAAGGAAAAATGGAACATGGGTGGCGATATTTCCTGTTGATTTCGGGCTTCATTCAATCGGCATGTCCAGGTTTCTGAATGATATACGCTGAGGGCCTGGCTATTGTTTATATATTACGACTCGCTCTTTGTTTAGTTCGAGCACTACGGAGGCCAAATAGTGTCTTCATCCACTGCTACCATTATTTCCTCGGAATACTGGGCTGACAGATATTGATGGAGACTAAACAAACCATCGAGACAGCTACTCTACAGTGCTTTCCGAAACTGACAACCCTCCAGGAACATAGAGTTTACAACAACATCACATTGGTATAGTTATATCAAGAAATGGGATGACATACCTCGTGATATTTCTCAAGCCTACCTAAGATCAAGTCGGAGCTTATTTAGACGTCCAATTTTGCACGAAGCACGGAGCACCGATTCTGTACTCTGTATATGGACATGTCCTTGTGTGAGGGCTGCAGCTGTAAGCAAGAAAAAGACTACCAGCTATCTCAGCGTAAGGACGAAGTCTTGAATAGACAGTGAAAAGCAAATAGGGACAGTCACACCCAGCGAATCCAGGAATAAAAATAGGGAAACAAGAAGAGGCAATAGATATACGTTTCAATGAATTGTTTTTAAGAGCAATTTAGTCTTTCAGCGGCTTAATAATAAAAATAATCAGAGAACCAAGGCCGCCTTCGCAAATTGGTGGTCAGTATGATCTCATAAACTGCATCCCAGAATTGTGTGATGAGTTTATAACTACGGCTCATAATAACTCTCGCTGCTATCCTTGCGATTGATGTATTGTCCACGAAATTCTCAGTAACTGAAACCTAATGGACAACCCGTGTCTAGACTGTAGGAAAGCAAAGATGGAGTGCTCCATGACTTCAGCAATCCTTGTCAGTTCTTCTGCGTCTGGGGAATTGGTTGGTGTGTGTTAGCAGAAAAATACTACTGAGATATGTGCAACACAGCTCATCCTTCCATCACAACTGCTTAGATGTTCAGGGAGCGGGAATTGGTTTGAATGCTGCTAAAGAACAAAACTCAACTTCTGCGGAGCAGATATTGAGAAATCAAAATGAATGCTGCTAGATTTTAGCTCTGGTAGTGTTCACGGCAGATCATTTTTGAATGCAAGCATCTTTGAGTCCCTAGTCAAAGTCGGCTATATAGTTCTAGGCATGCGCCGCGATGCCGAGAACTGCCTTGTCAACGGCGTATTAGGGAGTTTCTATCGTAATTGTGAATATCGAAGATGAACTCGGCTGGCTGAATTCCATCGCCAGATACCACTTGTCCAAAATGGCCCACCTTGTTAAGGCCGTACATGGCCCGCTAATGTTTTGTAAGAAGGTTGAAAAAGTGGTAAGGTTGCCTAAGCCGCATAGTTAGGTCGGAGAAAAATACAGCCATTTGTTGGAGGCTATGTGGCCGTGAAAATGGCAAGCGGAATATTCTCAGAAGTTGCAGGATATAGAGGTTCTGGTATTCTGGGAGAAAGAAATGGTGCCCTAAACTATACAGGAAGGATGAAGTGGTTAGAGCATTTGTCAATTCTCATTTATATTCTAGCGGCGTCTTGATTGTCTTATGACTCGAGATTATGAAGTGTGTACGGAGTACGTTGCTTGAAATACACTCTCCCCTCCATTTCTGATATTTCTTTAACATCCAGCCAATCTCGTTTAGTTAGTTATATTCGCGGTTTAACTTATAGGTTAATCTGACTAGGGTCCATTGCGAAGCCAAAGGTGAAAAATCACGAATCACCTTAAACAGCCTAAACCTGTGACTCGACGGAGGAACGAAAAAAAAAAAAAATCTAAAGAGTCCCATACAACTCCCATTGCCTCAGCCCTGAGGAAGAGGAATTCCTTCAACTCCTGGAACATATACCGAATCCGTGTAAAACCACTCTCGCAAGTCAGGCTTTTGAGAGGTAATCACTTTAGATCTGCTCCATTTACATTGGAAACCTGGCCGCTGTGGACGAAATAACTGGGCACAACTGGAGGAAGAACAGAATTCTTCAAAGCAACCAAGTTCATCGTAGCGCCTTCAGCAAGACGAACAAATGGTGACGTCTTGACAATAACACGTTCAGAAATTGGAACGCAGGGACATCCCCTGCATTTAGAATCATGCCTTGCATCTAAAATGTGAGCAGAGTCAAGAAACGGTACATAAATTTATCATTAATAGTCGTATTGCCTGCGTCAGAATGGAGCATTTTATCTTTAACGAATGGCTTTTTCGATGTAGTGAGATTATTTCATGTAACTCTGTAAGTTTATAGCAACATCAGCGTCAG